GATAAAATAATAAAAAAAAATATTTTGAGTTTATATTTCAAAATTCTGACTTTTTTCTTGCAATTCCGAGATTATATCTCACAATTCTGGTAAGAAAAATCAACTCGTCATTCTTTCTTTTTAGTTTATAATCCAACGCTTCTGGCTTTTTTCCCTCAGAATTGATACAACAATACATTTTTTCTCTTATTCCATGGATTTTACCCATTTCCATCCACTTGTTCCCAGTGTTTTTCTGCCACCACTATGCGCTCAGCTGCAAGTGACGTAACTGTGACGTCTACTCCAAATTGGTCTATAGCCTGAATGCACTGTAAGTCGCTTTGGATAAAAGCGTCTGCTAAATGCATACATTTATTATTTATACACATATATAATATTTTACTTTTAAGATCTTTTAGTAATTAAAGGAGACATATTATGCCCCTTTTTACAATATTTAATATTAGTCTCTGGTGTCCCCAGAATGTGTCTGTTAAGTTTCAGCTCAAAATACCCCACAGATCATTTATTATATAATTTTGAAAATGCCTATTTTGAGTGGAAGCAGAAATCCGCTGTTTTTCGAGCCTGTCTCTTTAAATGCAAATGAGCTGCTGCTCCCCGAGTCCCCGCCCCCTCTTCCAGAATAGAGCTGCGCCATTACAGCTCATACCTGCTAAAAAACATCTGTTTTGGTTCTGATTATCATGTTTATCGTGCTGAAATCATGCATTTTAAACCATATGAGTTTAAACTTCTGATATGCGTTTTCTGACTGCACACATCTGAAGCACACGGACAGAAAGCGGCTGTCACAGCATGTGAGTACTAAACTAACTTCTCATTCACACACAAGTTTACGTTAAAAACACACGAGTTATAAAAAACAGTTGGTTATGTCTGTGAAGGTAAACAGCTGGGAAATAAATCGCTTGTTTATTTTAGATCTGTGTGGCAGCAGCAATATACAGTAAATAAATCAATAAATCCACTGATCTGTTGCCTCTGAGGCTGGGACTCTAAACAGTGTTCTGTGCTCGTCTGTGCAGCCAAACACAGAACAGTTAGCATGTTTTGCTCAAACTTTCGCCATGGCATTAGAGCTGGTACACCGTTGTCGCTTGCGAAATCAAATGACAGCTCTATGGGTGGAAACTTACAGATTATGGGGCGGTAATATTATAATGAGATCCCTTTGCAACATCACTAGGGGAGCGAAATCAGACGCGCTCGTTTTTTCAGACGCTTGCAGAAAAAGGCTTCCCAAAACAAAGTTACTGGGTTAATCTTTTTCACGTTTCCTTGGTTGGTAGATGCACCGGGGACCTGATTATAGCACTTAAAACCTGGAAAAATCCGATTTTCATGATATGTCACCTTTAATAAATATTCACCCAGAACAGGAGTGGCAATCATATTTAGTTGCAGTATGTACATGGCCTTTAAATGAATAAATGAATGTGGGATGTGTGTTTTTCCTCAGGCTCCAGCTAATGTTTCTGGTGCCGAATCTTCTCAGTCACTCCTTTCCTCATCCCAAGATTCCACCGGTGCAACCCAAGCCTCTCAAAGTCATCACACTACAGGCCAATCACAGCACCCGTGCTCTCTTGAGAGAAGGCAGCAAGGTGACTTCAAGAGAGGTCGTAGAGGAAGAGGAGGATCAGCATGTCACACAATGCCTACACCTGCGGTAGAACAACTGGGCAGGCCTGTGCATTCTTCTGATAAGATTAATTATGTCAACTCAGGCCCACCAAACACCACACCACAGGGAGAAAGTACAGCACAAGGACAGGGATGTGAACTCAGTGATAAAATAACACAGCTCAGGCAGCCTTTGACCAATGAAGAAGAAAAAACAGTTTCTCAAGAAAAGGTTACTTCAGAATCCAACTGTAAACAAGATGTGAGCCAACAAAAAGTGTGTATTTCAAAAGATGTGACTCAGACAATATTACAGGAAGGACACCGAGAAAGGGAACATGTGGGTAGAGGATGGAAGCGTGGTGGTCGTGGCTCCGGACGACATCATGGACATTGGCAGGAGAGGAACTTCAAGGGACCCAGTCACTGGGATAATTCTGGAAATGCTGGTCACCATGGAGGAGGACATAGAGCCAGAGAGGGAGGGGCTGGGCATCATCTCAGAGGGGGCGGGGCTCATAGAGGTGGTGGCAGGGGTTTGCATCAGAGAGTGAGTTTTATGTCCACTATGTTGGATGTGAGTGGAACTGCGTTATCATTCATGGCTGATTATACACAAATTCTTTACATGTCTGTGTATTACAGATTCACTGAGCACAAGCTCTCTTTTGTCATTTGCAGTTAACAGACGTTTAGATGAGTGGGTTGGAAAGGCTCGTTTGGCCCTGACAAAGACTGTGAAAGACGCCGTGAGAAAGAGTGTGGAGGAAGGTGGTGGTGGTGGTGGAGGTGAACTTGTGGACCAGCCAGAGAGGAAGATCACCCGAAACCAGAAGCGTAAACATGACGAGATCAACCATGTGCAGAAGGTACCCGTCATCACATTTTTGCACATCTAAATGACACAGTACTCAATTTGATCAGTGTTTTATCTGAAGAAGGCCATATCAGTCTGATAGCAACATGTGCAATTATTTGACTGCTTCTTTTCTTCTTTCAGACTTATGCAGAGATGGACCCCACTACGGCAGCCCTGGAGAAAGAACATGAGGCGGTAAGAGGGGGCAACATTTGCATAACACACACTGAAAAAAAAAATCTGCTTTGCAGTATCACAGTGCTTATGGCAGGGGTGTCCAAACTCGGTCCTGGAGGGCCGGTGTCCTGCAGAGTTTAGCTCCAACTTGCCTCAGCGCACCTGCTGGAAGTTTCTAGTATGCCTGATAAGACCCTGATTAGCTGGTTCAGGTGTGATTATTTGGGGATTGTTGGAGCTGAACTCTGCAGGACAGTGGCCCTCCAGGACCAAGTTTGGACACCCCTGGCTTATGGTGTTTCCATCAGTATCAAGAACAAACTATGTCCATCTGTTTTCTCTTTTTAATCAAAATGTTGCTTTTATTTTCAGATCACAAAAGTAAAATATGTGGACAAGATCCAGATTGGGAACTTTGAGATTGATGCATGGTACTTCTCTCCATTCCCTGAGGACTATGGAAAACAGCCCAAGCTTTGGATCTGTGAATACTGCCTGAAGTATATGAAGTATGAGAAGACTTTCAGATACCACCTGGTCAGTCCACACTATGGTTTTGTTGTTGATTCATACAGTAAATCTGTTATTAAACCATAGGGGGTGCTATACATCTTTGCTAATTAATTTAAATGGTTGGAATAGAGTGCTGCGGTGATCTTGTAGGCCAACCTAGAAGTTAGCATCACCCTGGTTCCCTCAACAAAAAGTCAATAATATTTTTCCAGTGGCCTTTGAAATTTTTATGAAAATAAGCTCTGTGACCAACAAAAGTTTATGTTTCTGACACATTCATTAAGATAATCTTCACAAATGAACACAACTTTTATGAATTACGTGTAAATACAATCACCAGAAATAAAAATAAAAAGCTATAAACAAACTACATCACAGATGGATGACTTCTATGTTACCACCATAGATAAGTATACATAGATGCCTCATTAGCGACTGTTTCTATGGGCCGCTATACGTAAGCCGTCCGCCATATTCGAAGGGTCAACTTGACGTCATTCACCATAACAGCCGATGGTCTGCGACCCCTCTTGTATGGTGGCTGAGAGAGCTCAACGTGTTGTTGTGTAGACCTAACTAACTCCATATAACAAGATGAGCGCGTTAGCTAACACAACATTCAAAGTTACCAATGTTTCAAAACTTGTAATATTGAGTTAATACATTTAAAAACAAACCAACACATTCTTACCTGTGAAAGGTTTGTGACAACTCTTTTAATCTTTAAAATCTACAAGTTGAAAAGTTTTAGTTAAGATGGTTTGCAAAAGTGTCATTATGAGCACAACAAGACTGTAAAAGCAGATTAGCGGGTAGGTGAGTTTTCCTATTTAGCATGATTAATGTCCCCGACAACCTCTGTAGTCCCATTTAGGCACTTGTTAGCAGCCTCCTTTTTTAAGATGTGTAAAAGCTTAAAAAAATCATGAATGATGTATTACTGATGTGATAATGATCATTTTGATAGTTATTGATAATGATTTTATGTTGTTGAATAGATTGTCAAGACATCTTGAGCTTGTATTAGACCGTTTAACCAAAACCCCATTCAAAAAAACCCACTGACTTCAGGACAATGGAACCGGAAGTGCAACAATCCTGCCTTGTTTGGGTTTTAGGGCTCTTTCCTGTAGCACTTTATTTTACATGCATTTGTTCATAGATCAGTGTTGTTCTTTGTCGATCAGCTGATTTTAAATTGTGTTTTTTTGTGTGTTAGTTTTCTAGTATTTCTGGCTTCCCAGAGTAAGGTTAATGTTCTCATTGAATTTATATTGTCTTTTGTTTTCCCCTTCTTTGTTCCTCAATGGCTCTTGTTTCAGTCGCAGTGTCAGTGGCGTCAGCCTCCAGGCAAAGAGATTTATCGCAGAAACAATATCTCAGTGTACGAGGTTGATGGGAAGGACCATAAGGTGAGTCAGGTCATACCTGCCATTAAAATGAAACATAGAAACAAATCATTTTATGACAGATTCAAACTCCTATGCGGGTGTAATTCTTTCCTACAGTTTGTTGTTCTCACTGTCCTTCTCACTGTAGATCTATTGTCAGAATCTGTGTCTCCTGGCAAAGCTTTTTCTGGATCATAAAACACTTTACTTTGATGTAGAGCCATTCATCTTCTACATCCTCACTGAAGTCAACAAACAGGGAGCACATATTGTGGGCTACTTCTCTAAGGTAAAGTGTATCTTCTGTTTGTTTTTGAAGTGAATCTGTTCATTTGTATCTTAGTTAGCAATGCTTTATCTTATGTATTCTTCATGAGCAGGAGAAGGAGTCTCCAGATGGGAACAATGTCGCTTGTATTCTCACTCTTCCTCCATACCAGCGAAGAGGATATGGAAAATTTCTAATTGCATTCAGTAAGTTTCACCTCTCAGCAGTTGTTCACTTCTGATAAAAGCACTTTTACACACTGATAATTGTTCTTTGTATCATATTCTTCTCAGGTTATGAGTTATCTAAGCTGGAGAGTACGGTGGGGTCTCCAGAGAAGCCTCTGTCAGACTTGGGGAAGTTGAGTTACAGGAGTTACTGGTCTTGGGTACTACTAGAGATTTTGCGAGACTTCAGAGGGACCCTGTCCATCAAAGACCTCAGGTAGACATCCAGTCCTAAATACAAGAACAAACCAGCATGTAAACAAATACATGAGGTCACATGCAGTGTTGTAAGTTTACTGCCAAGGCTTTGATGAAGAGATCTAACTAATGCATAATGTCTTCACCCACAGCCAGATGACAAGCATTACTCAGAGTGACATCATCAGCACACTACAGTCTCTGAACATGGTCAAGTACTGGAAAGGTCAACATGTCATCTGTGTCACACCAAAACTTGTAGAGGAACATCTCAAAAGTGCCCAGTACAAGAAACCACCAATAACAGGTAACTGATCTGTAAAATGCATGTAATGCAGCTTGTTCTATTGTTAGCCTTATGTATGTGTTATCACACTTTTTAAGAGTTTAAACATTTGCATTTTGTGTTTTTACAGTGGACACGCATTGTTTGAAATGGGCACCTCCCAAACACAAGCAGGCCAAGTTCTCTAAAAAATGAGGCCAATCATAAACAAAGAGAGTGAAACCAGCCCTTCACCCCAGATGTTTTTCACAGCTAACCTAAATGTCATGTAGAAATACTTTCTCCAAGAGGGAAAGGTCTAAGATTGTACATTTGCATTGTAATGAGTCTGTTATTTTTTTTTTAAATAAATGAATAGTAATATTCATGTCTCTGTTTGTGAGTCATCTTTATTTAAAGTCAACCTTTTAGTGCATCAGTAATATGGTACTTCAGTTCTGTGTTCTGTGAGGTAGTTTAATATTTATACCAGACTCACCTTCTATGTTCACATGGCTTTTGGAAGAAAAAAACTTATACATTATGCTGAGTTATTCATTAGGCAGTATAGAATTACCTATTGCACATGCAGCACCTGTCTGGCTTTTAGGTGAAAGTTGATCCCTATATACGTATAGAATATACATAAATGTGTATATATATATATAGAAGATAAGGAGAGTCATGTCTGGCCCTCCAGCTTGAGTAACAATAATACGTCAGGGATTTTTATACCACTGATACTGAACTATTAAACTGTTTCATTCTTATTAATGATAAATTATTTAATAATTTTTATTTATTTATTTATTTTTTTAAATGTTTTACCTAAAATGGTAAATTACGTGTTCCAGATGCTTCAAGGTAACCATGGTGTTTTTGGTAGACTTCTTATAACCAGTAATTTTTATAACCAATGTGAATATAATGATCAAAATATGGTTACTGTAGAGAAACTGATAAATTCTTTATTAGTGTTGTTTTACTAAAAATACCATAATTTAACTATGGTTACGTTGCATCTAAATACAGAAAATACTGTTAAAAAACGTTATATATTTATATATATATATATTAATTTATATATATATTAAATATTTTGAATATTAAACATTTTTCAGACTTCTATGCATATAATGTGCCGCGAAATGTGAAATAGCGTAAGATAAACGACGACAAAATATTATTGTGTGGCTTGAGAAAAGATTACTCAAAGTTCAGTTCAGTTGAAGTTTTTACCAAAAATGATCTCAATCTAACCGGGCGACACGAACGGCAGGCACTCTGCTCTGCTCCACGGTGTGAATCTTCTTTATGCCGAGAACAACGGGCTCATTATTTGGGAGGAGATTGAGACGGCGCGTTGTGATTGGACGCTGGCAGCAGGTAGAAACGAACAGGTACTTTATTTTCACACATTCTCTGGCAAATGAAGATTCCTGCGTTCTCGCTCGCTGATCTTTTCTTCCTTCTTGGTCACATCAGCATTTTGTCTTCATCTCTCAGCGCTCATGTAAATGAATGTCGGAAAGGGATACGAATATGTTACGTTTTCAGAACGACGCATCACAAATCTGTAACTTGGCGCGACCAGAGTCCTCGGATGTTCGAGGTTAAATCGTTTCCTTGTGCGTTAAAAGTAAACGTTTTGAGTTGAATGACATTTTTTATTGTTCGAGTATATGTGACTGGATTATTTTGGATATTGGATCTCTGACATTACAAGTAAGTTTTTGGACCCAATTGTTAATAACAGTGTTGATTGTTCTTTGTTGAATTAGAGCTCAATAAGGGTCACAAGGGCAACTTATTGTTTATTCTTTAAAACATTAACGTGATTATTTACAGATTATCCAACTGAACAGAATGACTGATTCATGGCTACACCTCCTTGTCTTGATGTTAACAGGTAAGTCTTATTAGGGTGTACTTGGTCTGTGACTACAACTATTTGATTCACTGCATTCATTAAATTCATCATTTGTCTTTCTGTCTTAAAACTTCAGGACTGTCAACGTGTGTGGCACAAGGTAATTATTTTTCGGTTTGTGTGTCAGTGACAGTTTATGAAATCTGAGATGAGATTTAAAACAAAATCGTGTCCTGTTCTTATGAATGTAATCTTTGTATTCATGTTGTTTTGATACAAAGTTTTTATAGTGATTTCTAGAAAAATATAAGTGAAGAAAATTATTTAAATTAAGTACTAAATACTATACCGGCACCAAATACTTTTTATTAAAATTATTATTTCAATAACAAGGTAGAAGAATATTTTAAGGCTACTCAGTTGGATGTGAACAAGACAACTTTCTATTAAAAGGCCAACATATAAAAAAAGATTAAAAAAAAACTTTTATAATAGTCATGATTGTGTCTATATTGGTCTTCTACTGTATAATGTACTGTTTTCTTGTCACATGACCTCTCTTTGGTTTTGAGACTTTAGTCTTTGCAACTTCAGGGATCTTATCTATGCACAATCAGCTTGTAACACTCCAAAGAGAAAGGAAAACTTGAAATCGCATCATATGACCCCTTTAATGCATTTAGCAGAATTTTATTATTATTTTTTTTTTTATCCAAAATGACTTACATTGCATTCAAGGTTTCAAGTCACCAGTTTATGCTTTCCCTAGAAATTGAACCCATGACCTTGGGGTTGTTAGCACCATGTTCTACTGCTTGAGTTTCAGAATTTCCCATGAATTACAACAAATCCCCTGAGTCACACCTAGATATTTTTACTTGAAACCTCACATTACATATCCAAATGACAGAAAGTGAAAACATGTTAATCACAGGAAAAATAAAAAAGTGTATTTAGGTCTTTTTTTATTATTTATTTCATTTTTATGCATTTTTTAATAGATTAATAGATCTGGATTTAAAAAAAAAAAAGAGCATCACATCATTGACCTTTATAAACTTTCTCCTCCTCCTTTTTAAGTTTGTAACCTTACCCACAACAGTTTTCACTCATGCCTTATGCTCCTGTTCGTGAAGCTCCTTATTAATATAGTGAGAAGTTGTAATGATACTCTAGGGGTGTTGTAGGGCAGGTGTGATCTGGTAAGAAAATCTCTACACTGTATGTACACTAAATCTCCTCTGACGTGTTCACGCAAGTGTGCGGCAGGCCTCCGCTAGGGAAGCGTATCGTGGGAGGAGTTGAAGCATCAGCAGGGGCATGGCCATGGCAAGTGGACATTCAGATGGGAGCCAATGTCCATGTTTGCGGTGGATCCATAATTGCAAAAAATTGGGTCCTCTCTGCTGCACACTGCTTTCCTAAGTAAGTATTATCATATTATCAATGCCGGTGTTGATTGTAGAGAAGTTAATATTCTCTTATCTTCTATCCTCAGCCCCTCAGACGTGTCTTCGTATCGCCTGTACATGGGACGCCATCTGCTCAATGGCTATAACCAGTTTGAGATGGTCAGTCAGGTGCAGCGAGTGGTTGTTCCAGAAGGATACACAAACCCTCAGAAGGGCAGAGATGTAGCCTTAGTGAAGCTGCGCTCTCCGGTCACCTGGTCAGACAGGATCCAGCCTGTGTGTCTGCCATATGCTGGATTCCAGTTTAACAGTGGAACCTTATGCTACGTCACAGGTTGGGGACACACACAGGCGGGTGGTAAGTGCATCATAAAGGAAATAAGGGGAAACTACAGAAAAGAACAGATTTTACTGTTTAAACTCATGGCTAAGGCTTTGTACTGTACATGTGGATTTTGTCTTTGGAGTGACAGCTGGATTTCCATTTCATTTCAGTAGTGGTAGTCACGGTGGACAAAGGGGATGAGGTTAGAAGCAATCATGGACATTTAGATAATTGCCTAATTGTGAGAATATGCAATACAGTTGAGATATTGCCAAGATATTTAAGTGGGAAAGGAGGAGAAAGAGTTCAAAAGCAAGAGGAATGAGTAGAGCACATTTACTTCATACTGAACTATTGATTTTTTTGTACTTGTATTACAATAGGTTCTAAATCTGGGTACGATCTTTAAATTGACCAAAAATCACACTATGAAAAGAAAACCAAACAAAAATATCTAAAAACAGCAAACCTTGAACAATAATGCTTCTCACCCATTACCAATAAATAAACATGAGAACATTTGATTTTTAAAACTGTATTCAGAATTATTTTTCATACAGTGTAAATATTATAAACAGTATTGTAAGTATGTTTTAAAACATTTTAAACAGAAGACATGTAGAAAAGTACTTTTGTGTGTTTTCACAGAAGTGTGTTTTCAAATTGAATGGGTTCAGTTTCCAGCTAACTGAACATGCTTGAACTGATAAAAATGTATGCCTTCAGTGCAGTGCAAATTTCTTCACATAAAAGCGTCTGCCAAATGTATAAATGTACATACCCTCAGAAAGTAGGTGAGAGACTGACATTTAAAAAAAAAACATTAAATGTTTCTATTTCGAGTCTGTGCAGCGGCCTTCAAAGATGAAATAGGCGGGTCGAATTGACCCTCAAACATCTTAATCGTTATAGAAATTTTGTATGTACAGTATTTTCCACAACACATCAGAGTGTCAACACTTTGCAGTTCATGACCCTAAATGAGAAAAAGTCACACAATTTCAGGAAGAACATAAGTTTTCCAGTATTTCTGACATCTCAGCAATCTAAATGGGTCAAATTGACCCAGAACATAATATTCAGAATATTATTATAATTCATGCACAATATATAAGATTCAGAAGATTTATTTATTGTCCTCTAGAGTGAGAAACAATGTTTCCTGATGCCTTGCATTTATGCAGATTTTCCATTGCTGCTGAATGGAAAAGATAAAAATGATTTGACATGGAAATGATAGATAAGAGATAAGACTGCACATAGCGGTCATGCAAAAAAATGTATGGACAAAGCCTACTAGCTTATCACAGATCTATTCCCATTTTATGTTATGGTAGTTTAACAATGTATTTTTGACATGTGTTAATTATTTGTATTTTGTAATTCGCGTTCGCTCTGTTTTACCTTTAAATAGTTTCCCTCACTGGAGTCGGGGCGCTCCGGGAAGTGCAGCTGCCCATTATTGACCAGTCCTCCTGCCAGTCAATGTATCAGATTTTGTCATCTGATTTAGTAACAGTCGACATCCTATCAGACATGATCTGTGCTGGATATACAGAGGGAGGCAAGGATTCCTGTCAGGTATGTGATGCTATCACACTGCCATTGTACTGATTATCTACCATGTAAATATCATAATTTGTCTCTTACAGGGGGACTCTGGAGGCCCTCTGGTTTGTCCTGGTGGCAATGGGACTTGGATTCAAGCAGGGGTTGTAAGTTTTGGACTTGGGTGTGCTCAGAAGAACCGGCCAGGTATCTATTCCAGAGTCTCAAGCTTTGCGAGTCTCATCCGCACCACAGTTCCAGAAGCTCACTTTTTTGGTCATGCTCAGAGGAGTGAAAGTCAAATGCCTCTGGTTCTAGGCCTCTCTTTTGCATTAATACTTTTGTATAGATAGTGTATTAGTATTGTATAGATAGTATATTAGTTAAGTATATGCAATGTACATGTGAAACACAATCTCAAGTTTTGAAACACCACAAGTTTTGTTTGTGTGGCATTGATTTGCCATGTTTTGAATGCTTTCGTGGGGCAAAACATGTACTCACTGCAAAGCTTCAGAGGTATTGCAAATTATTTGTAATAATAATGAAATATGTGACATGTTTATGATGGGGAGATCTGGCCATCTGATCATTCCCAAGCACAGATCTAGTTTGTGGTTATTGTGTATTCGATTTTTTTTAATGCAATTTCAGTAATGTCACCAAGACCTTGGAACACTGTAAAATGCCAATATCCTAATTAACAGGATAAATACAATATCATTTTGTATTTCTTGTATTGATTATTTGTAATGAAAAATCAAATTAATTTGATTGCACAAGGCATATTATTGCACATTACAGCTTGGTGTGTTCTACTGCTGTCACTCATGCATTCAATACCAGTGTTGTAACTTCTTAATTTTAGAATTTATATTAAATTAGAATGCCACCTGTGTTTTCCCTTTTGCTCATGTTTTTATTGAATTATTATTATTATTTTAGGATGCACAGTTATAGCCATTACAAAGTGATTTGAGCTTTATTTTTTATGCATCATACTTTTTGGGACTCCAACATAACTCAATATTCTTTGATTTAATTTCTTTCAAGAAAATCACCTTTAAGTCTGGATTTTAAGTGGTTTTAAATGTGCAATTGTATTGGTTTACTGTATAATAGCTTATTGTAGACTAAATGTTTTGTAAACGTCCAAAAGTTGAATGGATGATAGTGTGACATCACCGGTGCCGCCTACAAGCTCAAACGGACACAACAGCGTCAGCCTCACAGTTTATATCGGTATAACCGAAGGTGACTGTGCAGCATTGCATACGTTGGTCTTCTGCTCAAGCTCCTAAAAGGATTTCACGCGCGATTATGGCGTCAAATGGTAAGATTCGGCCAATACAATATGATTTCGCGTTTTATTATAGTCGATATAGGATTTGCCAAAACATAGCATCTGATGCAAAACGCACCTCGTAATTTTCCCCAGATTTTCTTTCTGGGTCACTCGCACATGGTGAGGACATTTAGTGATCTTATGCACATGTTACAGACGCGATAGACGTATTTGATGCATTTATGGGTTATTTGTGAAAAGGAAAATCGAAGAACATGTCGGCATCCGCCATTTTGTTTTAGTTTTAACCAGCTTGTTCTATTGACCTATATTTGCGTCCGAGCCCTCTCTCTATACATCGATTTAAATTCAGTTTTAATTAATTGAAAATGTTAAAATGATCTGGCGTTCCCGACACCCCATTTACACTCCTAGCGACGCGACAGAAACTGGGACGGTCCCTTTACGATTAATGAATTATGTGAGTCAAGACGTTCGTTTTTTAAGAAACGGGAGCTTGTTTAGTTGTATTAACCCCTTAACTGTCACTCACATTTTTGAACATTGACGTGAAAGTGCATGATCCAAACTTAAATTTTTATCATTCATGAATGAAAACATTTTGTAACATGATATTAATGTACCATTTTCATGGTTCATTCAAAGAATGAATTTTGAGATTTAAAGTTTTCATTTGATATATAATATCTGATGATTTCTTAAGTGTGATAGAGAATAAGGCAACAAAGAAGACTTTTTGACAAAGGTCAGAATTCCTGTTATGATGTAGATTTTTGAGGTGCACTCTTGTCAAAAATGAATCTATTACTTTTCCTACATAATTTTGAACAAAAACATTGGTAAAATATCTATTTAGGAGTCTTAGACCTTTCCAACGATATATAGTTTGTCATGATTAGATTAGGATTTAATTGTAATATATTTAAGTAAACTTAGGCACCCCACAGATGGGACGGGTGACAGTTAAAGGGTTAAGGGGATCGTTCATCCAAAAAAAATTGTTTTGGTTACTGCTGACTTCTGTTGTATGGACAAAAAAGAGACATTTCCTAAGTCTTTGTGTTTCACAGAAGACAGCCATACAGGTTTAGAATGACGTGAGGGGGAATAAATAATGACAGTTCATTTTGGTAATGACTAAGTTAGCAGTGGCGGCTTGTGGGTTTTAAACATAGACTGTATTTTTATTTTTTTATTTTTTTTATTTTTTATTATGCTTTAAACGACATATACAAAACAATACAAAGCCAGGGTAACAAAGGATAAAAGAAAAGGAAAAAAAAATAAAATAAATAAAAAACATATATACACACATAATCAGAGACATGCATGACCTTTACATTACTCAAAGATTTTGAAGACAGAACACAAACTGACAGTTTAATTGCCTTTCTATTAGTACTATGTTGAATAGTACACAAGTAATTTTCCAACTCTTTAAAAAACACTGTAAAACAGGGTTTTTTGTTAGAAAATTTACACTTATGAATGTGAAACTTAACCAACAAAATAAATAGATTAATAACAAAAACTTCGTTATTTACATTATCATAATTAAAATATCCAAAAACGACATTTTC